CCTTATCAAGTGGAAGGGGTATCCTCCCTCTGAGAACACTTGGGAGCCTTTAGGAAATCTAGGCAATGCTAAAAAGGCTATTGCAGATTTCCATAGGCTTTACCCCTCTGCTCCCAGAAGGATTTCAGCCATCACCTTTGATAGGCTTCACTTCCAACCACTCATCAACTATACTATACCACCTAAAAGGGTTCTCTTTGATTGGACATCTGGAAAGAAGAAGGGAAAAGCAGAAGAAGGAGTATCAACATGCTGGGACAGCATGTCTAGAAGGGGGGGTGATGTCAGGGCACCAGCTCATTGCTTGGTCAAGAGACATGACTAAGCCTTTATGACATGGAAGTAGCTGGTATACCTTGGCATGTGCTGGAACTTGCTGGAAGGATTGGATAATCAGGTGACCTGCTGTGCATGGCTGTGCATGACCTCATATGACCTCATCCTTGGTCATATGACCTGATCACCTGACTAGGCTGAGTAAGCAAGATGTTCTAGCAGGTTCCACCACAGAGGTATAAATATAAGGCCTACTCTGCCTGGGGACTGTCTCTTCAGACTTGGTCTCTTAGGATCATCCACAGGTACCTATACTGTAGATAGGTCTTAGTCATCAGGTCTACTCCACTTCCTTGTTGCCTGCTTAGACTCTTGGCACTCTTAGGTGAGCAGATTTAGTCAGCCTGTGTTGCCCTAACAGCATCTCAAGAAGCATTACTCATGCCACATGGTTCTAGAAGCACAAATTGAGGAATACATACTAGATAACAGTAGGATACATGGTTATAAAAAGAAGAAGGTGTTTTAGGTCATGGTAGTGTGAGGAACAAGGCTCAAAACTCCAGTGTGTACATGCTTCTGCAAGCCATGGAAGATCTTGTACCAATAATCTGGCACAATCTCTTGTACAAGATGACAACAGCTTGCTCCTACTTGGTCTTTTGATTGCAAAAGACACCCTGTTACATGACATGTCAAATACAAGTTAATAACATTTTATGAGTTTCTCCTTTTGATTTGAGTGAGAAATCTAACTCAAGACATCTTGATGTATGCATGAGATGTGCATGCATGGCTGACATGCATGTATGCATGATCCAGGCTGATAGTATCATGCAGGCAAGCTTTGAGACACCTCAAAACTACATGTATGCAGCAAGGTGCATGAGACATACATTGCATTTGTTGCTCACTTATTTGTCAGGGGACTCCAAGTTTCGACTGCACATTCAGAACATGTGAGCTCAATTCAATCCACTTGGTGACTATCGGACTTTGACAACACAGGCTAGGGTCTCCACACTGAGCCAGCTCCAAATACCCGACACAAGGACCAATGGATGCCAACTTGCATGAATCAGTAAAGCCGGCCCTAATCGAGGTAAATTTTTGATTATACTTCCATGTGCACAGACCATGCCCTATGAGTATATGAGCAGTAGTAGGGTAGTACTACTCTACTTAGATTTGATCTCTGAGGAATCTCCACAGTCTTGTAGAGATAGGCCTAGTTATCTCATCTCATCAAAACTCTTCCCGAACTCTACTGATTTCTGCTTTCCTGTCCGAATCCTCTCAAGTCTACTCCGATATCCACTGATACCCCTGTTGATATAGGGTGTTTGGTCTTACTGGCAATCTCGTCATCTTGTCAGGTTATAGTCAGCAGCCTTGCTTGACTGTGTGCCCTCACATTATTACAGGATTTAAAACATGTCTTGTATTCTTACAATATGAAGTTCAACTTGTCTTGAGCTCCGAGAAGACCTGCGCCAGTTGCTCGACCTCCGTGACCTGCTCATTGTCGAGGTCCTCCTTGCCTTCCTCACCCTCCTCGCCTACCTCACCCTCCTCGCCTACCTCCTTCTCTGACAAGGCATCATCCTCGCCATGGGCTGGGACTTGATGAGAAAGTTGTGCGGCAGGATCACCTGCTTGACCCACACATGTGGCAGTGAGTAAAGTACCTGAAAAACCGGGCAGGCGGGCCAGTTGTGCGAGACATTCACAAAGGCGGGCGTCCACCCACCACTTCTTCTTGAGCTCCGCGGTCATCTTGCATGCTAGCAGTTCTTCCCCTCGTCTTTTAGTGGCCTCAATGGCAAGCTCAAGAATGGGCACTTCAAGATGCACAGCTGACCAGACACGGTGGATCTCAATGTCAAGCCTGTGAATTTCTTGACTCGCGCACTGTACAAGCAACCACTTTACCGTGGCTTGCCGAATGTTGGGTGTTGACCAAGACTTGTGTAGAATATTGTTCCTCAAGTAGCACAAGAGGGCGAAATCGGTGAGAAACGAGTACTCGAGCACTTGGGTGAACAAGAGGGGCGGGCGGCCAAGTTGCTTAGCGAGGATGTTGTAATGCAACAGTGCCGCTTGAATCGAAGTGCTGCGTGGCTTGAGCGCTCGAGCAATTGCGGTGCACATCTTGTATCCTGTATATGGATGGTAAGGAACTGTCAAGAATCAGCTGCTGTGCACGCGTACCTGTGCCCCTCAAGTTCCATTTCTCCATCTTGAAAAGGCGCTGCATGACGAGAGACTCGAGCTCGTCAAGGGCTCGATTGTAGGCACGACATCTCTTGTCATGTTCAGCTTGTATCCATTTTTGACAGTCCGGCGTCCAGCGAGCTGTGTCCAGTGCCATCTCCTACTGCGTGGCAAGGGCTTCGAGCCGTTCCTCGGTCTTGATCGCTGCAAGATAATTGCGTTCCATGGCTTGCTGTCTCGCCGCCGCCAAGCGGGAATGCCACTCTGCTTGCGTGGTGGAGATGAATCTGTCAAAACTAAGGTCCTGGATTTGAGCACTGCGTGCAAGTGAGCAGGATATGCAAGTGCAACAGCCATTTGTACTCACCGAGCTGCATGCAAGTTTCTCAATGCATCGAGATACTTGAATGCGAGAGTATCTCCCTCGGGCTTGGCCTCGAGATCTCGAAAGTACTCCTGCTCTTCTAGCAAGAAGCTGCGAAAATCGTCATCTGTAAGACACAGTTCTTGCTGCAGTACAAGCAGTGCGTGGCCGTCATGCTTGATGATCGCAAGAGCCTGCTTGTGCTTGCTCACAAGCCAATCAGCTGGCAAGAAGATCAGCTAGCACAGACAGCGAGAGAGGAAGCATGTACCCAGTCCTGCTCGCCGATCCTCGTCCCAGCGAGCCCAGAAGAAATGTAAAGTAGCATGCCGATGATACTCGGACACGTGCAAAAAAAGATGCGCGGTGAGGTTTTGCTTCGAGAAGATCCACTTGTTCATTTCAAAATCTTCAAGTCCCACTGTTATCAAGAATCGCGGATGGTACTCGAGTTGACACTTGCAATGGTGCGCATACCCATGGAAGGTGCCCACATACAATATGCAAGTTCTCCGCTCGTGCTCTCATTCCGAGTGAGCTCTTGCCTATCGTCTTTGCATGGTTGCAGCCAATGTCATAGCCCATGGCGAGGTCCGAGCCATACACATCCATGAGCTTGTTGAGGCATGAAAGCGAGTATTTTGCGCTGCACACGGACACGATAAGCGTGAGGTAAGTCAAGAAGGCCATGACTTACAGCTTGCCTGACTGTATCATGTCAGCACTCAGGAGAATGAATGCATGACAGCAAGAGCACAAGAAATTGCCGCTCGCATGGAGGGTGTTGCGCCAATGCTTCTTCTCTTGCTGTGCTTGAGTGGTATCCCATCGTCATGTGCAGGGGTCTTCTTGCTTCACTATGGCTTGCTGCTGAGCAGGCTTCTCCTGTAGTCAAGCGATCTTGAGTCACGGGAGGCTAGAGGCAACAAGGAGATCTAACTCACAATATCAGAGTTCTCATGTGTTGCCTCGCGGGCAAATTTGTTGACATCTTCTTGTGCCAGGATGTAGTCACTTGAGAAGACGCGAGTGTCTTGATGTCTGGCACCCGCAAACCGCTTGCTTGAATTGTTACCGTCACCCGAGAACAGCTTCGAGTGTGGAAGTGGTGGCTCGCCCTCAAGCTGAGGTAGAAGTTAACAAACGTGGGCATCTTGACAGCAAGAACAACATACTCAAAACTCACACGCCGGGCAAGAGTTTTTTAGGCGCCAATCAGGTTTGTCTTGGCCAAATGCACGCTTGACAATCTTCTCTACATGGAGGATGACGTCGAGCCAGACGTCATAGGCCCGAGATAGGAGCACATGCAGATGCCATCTGTAAGGCTGCTAGAACATCAAGGGTCAGGTTGGCCTTGTACTTTGTGCAAAAAGGCACTCATGGCTTGCAGATCGCACAGGATTCGCACGAATGACTCGTGTGACACGTATGCTCGCAGTCGAGCGTGGTGCAGAACCTCAAGCACTTGCATCGAGATGGCCCATTGTGGCTCATCTGGACTGCAAGGCATATGACCTCGTTCAACAAGATGGCAGAGGAGGTTCTCGCCGAACCATGTGGCATAAAATCGCTTGCTCGGGCAGTCTTCCAGGACGTGAGATAAAGCGCTAGTGCTCGAGTGCGAGAGAACGGCATGCCTTTCCAGTGAACAACATTCACGCAGCACCTGCCTGGCATCTCGACATCCAGCTGCTCGAATTGCTCTGCTCCCGCCATACAATGTTGCCAACGAAGGTATGCTTGAACGATCCTGGGTAGTTCTGATGCCCAGCGTGCTGCGCGAGAGGCAAGTCGGGATGCATGAAGTCCATGTCTGGTCGTGTATGTGTTCTTGGACCTGCAGGCAGCGTGAGCGCTAGACAGCATGAAAACGACTCGCATCACGCACCTGTACTTGCATAGCACGCTCTGAAGTGCAGGTTCTTCGTCATCTGACATCCAGGCGTGATTGTCAATCTGATCAGAGTTCACAGTGTTGTCCATCCTCGAGTCATCGTGGACTACGCTGCCAAGGTCTTGTGATTGCACGTACCGCTGGCTGACGAATGCGAGTGCTTCTTTGTCTTCTGGTGCAAGAACTCGCTTGGCATGTCGGCAAGCATTTTGTATAGCTCTGAGTCCAACAATGGCTGAGTGTGCTTGTCTTGCATGAGAGGTCGGGGGATTGGGCTCGCCAAAACTGCATGCTGTTCGAGCTGCACGCAGCTCTGCCAGAGACCTTCGAGGCTTGCCTTTGAGTTTATTGTCAGCATGTGGTACGATGGACACTCGCACTCCATGAGATGTCGAGCTAGCTCGAAATGCGAATGTGATCCAAGTGGTACTTTTCCTTGAGGGAATTCATAGCACTGATCCAAGGAGACCCGTTATCCGTGACGATTTTGCCGATAGCACCCCAATGACAGAGGATGTTCTTGTGGATCAAGTCCTCTATGACCTCGGCCGTTTCCTTCTGGCAGATCATGTACTCTGGCCAGTGCGTAAGCAAGCACCAAGCTTGCAGAATGTACCTCATTCCTTGATATCGACCTTTCAAAGGTGGCATGAACATTGTGTCGCAGTGAGCTCGAAAGAATAGCAGTTGCGGAGTCTGTACCGTGGGCGGAATAAGCACGTGTCTCATCTGTTGTTGTTGGCACTTGTTGCATGTCCTTAGGTACCATTTCGTATTGTCCATCAAGTTCGGCCAGAAGAAACAAAGTCAAATAAGGTTGTATACCATTCGAAAGCCCCTGTGTCCGATCTCGTTGTGCATGTTCCGAAGGACATTGATCCTCTTTTCGAATTCGATATAAAACTGATGTTCTCTGTTTTTGTCCTGTTTGTATAAGTCATCCTGGCCTTCAAGGAAGTAATGCGACATCTTTTCTAGAAACAACTTCCAGTGCACATCTGTTAGACTTCAAGCTCTTTGAAAGTTCCTTAGGTATTGTCGAATTGCTAGGATCTTGTCATCTACCTCCTTCGTCTTCCCGAGCCTAGGTAGCACCTCTTCTGGGGGGTTCAAAAAATTTGGAACAGGGCTTCGAAGGGACTAACAGGGCTTCGAAGGGACTGTTCCAATACAAACGTGTAAGACAAGCCGAGGGTGTCGTCATCTTTGAATTCAGGGAAGCAGTCATCAATATTGGATTGGCGGGCCACAGGTCGTCTCGAAAGGCCATCCGGCGCTGTGTGTTGTTCCGCCGGGACATAATGGAGTTCGAAATTGAAAAGATGGATCCAATGGATCCACTGGTTCAGAACGACGCTCAGCTGTATGTCCGGGTGGTTCAGCATTCCTTGGATGTATTTCGCATCGACCTTGACATCAAAATTTGGAATGCCTATGAGCCAGATTCGAAACACCTTTAACGCTTGGTAGAGACCATACAGTTCAAGCTTTGGTTGCGAGTACTTGCTTTTGACTTTGTTCCAGTTGATCAATCCAAAGCATGATGGGCGGCACTTTCCTTTTTTGTCGTTCTGATACAAAACAAAACCAGTACCGATGTTTGAAGAGTCAACTGCCAAGCTAATATGCTGGTTGCTCTTGTAGTTGATGAGCTTGAGGATGTTGTTCGTTTCCACTGCAATTGCCAATTCCTGTAGGATGTGAACGGCCTCATATTGTTCCGGTCTGAATTTGAATGGCACACCTTTGCGTTTCAGACGTTCCAGTGAGCGCGCCTTCTGAGCAAACCCTTCAATGAAAATTTGAAGGATGCCTACTGTGCCAAGGAATGCCCTGACTTCCAAGAGTTTTTCACACGGCAGCTTCCATTCGGTGATTTTTCGAACTTTCAACAAGCCTGGAACTCGGCCTTCATAGCAACACCTGTAGCCGAGAAGTATTATTTCTGGGACACACAATTGTTCTCTTGGTCCGGAGAAGGTTCCTCCCGCATGTTCAGCTCGCTGGATGATTTGGTGCATGTTTCCGAGGTGTTCGAAAACGAAACATTGAATGCCAGGGTTGCCTGGGATTGTTTTGAACTCTCCATTGGCCTTTTTGTACCGAGTCTTGGGGCCTTTTACTCCGATGTTGTTGATAAACGGGGTGGTCAAATGAGGGATTTCGTCCTGAAAGATGAAGTTGACGTTGTCCTGCATGATGCCTGGCATGTTGTGGGCGCCCATGGGTGCGACGGTATACCGGAGTGGGCCTATAGGAGACTGAAACAAAGTGTGGTCCCATGAACTCAAGGTGACGGGGTGCTGTTCAAATCCTCGAAAGAAGTCTAGAAGTCCGTAACATCCTCTTGATCCGAAGTCTTCCATGATGTGTTCTGTCAATGGGGGAACTGTGCTGCTTTGTATCATGACTTGGTTCAAGGGCCGAGCATCGATGATGGGCCTTAGTTCTTCATTTTCCTTTTGAATGACAAACCAGCGAGATTGGTATGTGGACTGGGAGCGTTCGAAGGTGCATCTTCCATAAGGGCGGGCGGCATTGGAATATTTTGTTCCTGACACGGAACATGTTCAACTGTCAGAAAGATAACCGGATCAAAATAATCAGCTCGGAATCGTCCAATTTCCGACTCGGCCCACAAAAATGTGTATTTGTGTGTTTTCAGCACCCAGGCTGTGAGCTTCTCCTCTTTGGGGAGAAGAAATTTTGACTTGTTGATTTCGAGCACTTCAAAACGCTCTTTTGTAAGCCAAGCGCCTGGAACAAAGTCGGGTAGTTGGACTGGTAACGGTTCTAACTGATCTAACGGATCGGACAGGAAATGACAGTTTATCTTCAGTTCTTCGGGGTGTGCAGCAGGCACTGGCTTGATTCGATCAGCCACTTTCTTACACTTTTGAGCGGCGAGAGCTTGGATTGGGGGGTATGCGTGAGAGAGGAGCTTGTGAAAGTATGGGTTGTACTGGTACTGCCAGTGTAGAATTTCCGAATCAATATAACGTATGGCCGGGATGTCAGGTATCAATTCAATCTTCGATTCTTGAAATTGCCACACTGGCTCTCTCAGCTTTGGAGTCATCACAATAAGTCTACTGTGAGGGGAGTCTCTCCGAGTGTAACTCAGTTCCTCGACTCTTGAAAATCCTCAGACACGTGCGGGTTCAACAAGCAGGTTGTGACGACAGCAGTCTTTGACTTAGTAGGACAGGTGAAGGTAATCTCCTGGTACCCATCCTCGAAATCTTGAGTCAAACACTTGAACAGGGTTAGGAACGGCCTTCCGAGGAGCAGTCTGACCGGTAACGTAGTGGCCACATGCACCTGGAACAGTCCGGAGATGTTTCCGACCGTTGTCTGAAGATTTCAAACACATACCAACATACTGCTGATGCTCCCATTTGCTGACCTCATCTGAACCTTTTCCATAGGAGTGTAAACTGAGCCCGTGTGACACCAGACCATGTGGTGCATAACGATGAGTGAGCATCCCAAATTGAGGCAGCCAAGAGTTCAAAACCCAGTGTCTCTGAGTTTGACAGACATGTCTCTCAGTCCAACAACCTCCGGAGCCGCGATAATACCTCTCGGGAGTGCTGGCTTTTCGTGCTCCTCCAAATGCATTTGTGAGGGCACTAGGTCTAGCAAGGTCGCCACACACTAATCCCAAACAATAGATGAAGTGCTGGGGGGTCTACTGTGGTTGAAAGCGGCTCTAACCAGCAGTACTAGTCAATATCCACGTCACCAGGGCCAGCTGGATTATTGGGGGGGGTCCCAGGGGGTCACTGGGGGGTCCCAGGGGGTGTTATAAGTCGGTTATAGATAGCTGAAAAGTGTAGCAAGAGTTGTGGAGTCAAGGCAGGTTTCTGAGAGCAGGGTGTTCAGGTGTGTGTAGAAGGGGGTTCAAGACGATGAGATGACTTAGAAACTGCTTGTAGACTAAGGAGTTTCCTCAAAGATCAAATCTGAGGGAGACAGCGTCACTGTACTACTGTTTATATACCTTGTAGGTGTTCACCAGAAGCCCAGGAGTCCAGGTAAATTATGGGGACTCCTACAAAACGTCAGTACCCTCCCAAAGACACGCGGCTGACCGGTTGCGTGATGAAGAAGAAACCGCATTGGAGTCTATTGCCGCCGCGATAGGAAGGGCAGAGAGGGGAGACTCTGTCTCCTTCATCCAGCTTGGCATTGCATTGGAGAAGTGTCTGTAAGCGAAACTTTTTTTGGAATTCGGTGGAGGACTCAATTCGTCTTAGGCAGGCAGTTCAACAGGCACTGGATGAACTGAAGCGTACGGATGGGGTGGACGGAGACGATACAGAAGCCGATCGACTCCGGGCCAGTCTACTGCCCCTACTTCACACGTGGCGCATTCAACAACAACGTGAAATGCCGATGATATCAGGCAACATCCCGACCACTTCTGTGGACAGCCTACCTGAGCATGAGGTAATCGGATTGCCGTCGAACTTCGATTCACAAGCAAGAGCTGCAATGAACTTGGAAAGACTTTCCTACATCGAGATGAC